CCCTGCAGCCCCGCAGTCCCACAGCCCTGCGCCGGAGCATGCTTGTGCATGCGGGGCTTGTCCCGCCACGCACAGGCTGCTCCAGCCTCTGGCAGCGCCGGCACCAGCGCTTGGGACCGTCCTGTTCAGCAGGTGACGCGCGTCCCCGTGTCACTGCCGGCTCTCGTCAGCATTCACACTTGGTGCCACCCGCGGGCCCCGCGGCTGCCTGAGCCCCTCCGAGCTCGCAGGGCCCGGTGGGGGTGACAGGCCCAGCCCCACAGCCCCGGGCGTGGGTGGCGCCGGTGCCGCCGAGCTCGGAGCTGCCTTTGAGGTTATGGCACTGCTCAGCTGGCTGAGCCGGTAACGGCCCTTATTGCTGCCTGGGCTCACGCGGCTGGAGCGCCGGCATCCCCGTGACGCTGGCGGCTGAGCCAGGCCGGGATGTGGGGACGGGGCGGCGGGGCGGCCTTGGGGAGCAGGGAGGGCGCAGGGCGGGCGCCCCAGCCCGGCACCTTGCACTGCACCGKCTCTGAAGCTCGTTCCGGCTGAAGGCGCCTGCAGCCAGTGGTTGCAGCTCCAAGGGGCTGGTGGCACTGGCACGGGGCAGGTGGCAGGGCCGGCTCCTGCCCACACAGGTGGCACTGTTTTCCAGGAGGCAGGAACGCTGTGGCTCCGTCCCGGCACGCTGGCCGGCTGGGATGGATGAGCAGACCCCTCCAAGCACGGCACAGCACAGCATGGCACGGCAGCCCTAGAGACCACAGCACAGCACAGGGCAACACAGCACAGCACAGCACAGCACAGCGTGGAGCAGCATGGCACAGCAAAGGGCAGCACGGCGCGGCACAGCATGGCCCGGCAGCACTGGGGACTGCAGCACAGCACAGGGCAGCACGGTGCGGCTCAGCACCGCAGGGCACAGTGCAGCACGGTGCAGCACAGCTCTCCTAAGGGCTGAGATGGGGACACGTCCCCGCAGCTGGGGCGCGGGGCTCTGTGCGCAGGGTCTGCTGCACCYAGCACCGCGAGTGCCGCGAGCGTCCCGAGCGCCGCGAGCGCCCCGTCCCCAGTCCCGCGCTCACCGCCCGTGGCGGGGGCTGCTGCGCCCGGCCGCGCGCACAGGGCCACGGCCCCCAGCAGCAGGAGCGCCGCCGTCCTCATGGCGCTGCCGCGGAGCCGGCGCCCGGCACGGCCGCTTATATGGGTGCGCGGCACTGTGGCGGGCTGCCCTGCCGGCCCCGGGACGTGCCGTTGCCTGAGTGATGACCGAGGCGGCCCGGCCCCGCCGTGGGTGCCGCCGGGCGCACTGGGGCCGCCGGGCGCACTGGGGCCGCGGGGCGGGCGCTGCAGTGGGTGCCGGGGCAGTGGGGAGCACAGCCCATGGTGCAGGAGGGCGCCCGGGCTCGGTGCAGCCCTGCCCCAGGCTCCCACGGCCCCGTGTCCCGCACGGCGGCCCCACGTCCTGCAGCTACTGTTGCGGCGGTGAATGCAGCCCCGCTCGAGCAGGGCGGCTCGAGGCCCCGTGGGGGGCAGCCATGGAGCGGGGACAGGCATGGAGCRGGGACGGGCACCAGGCACTGCCACCCTGTCCTGTGGTGCCACCACTGCTGCAAGGCACCCGGTGCGGGGGTGGGTGACACCGGCTGGCTGCAGGGTGCCGGGGGGGCGGCCGCAGTGCCTGGTCCCCACACGGCCGTGTCCTGCAGCCGCCCCCGCCGTGGCCACCAGCTCGGTGCTGACGCGCTCGGCGCTGCCCMGTCCAGGGCTGGGTGCCGCCGAGCGGGTTTCCCAGCTGGGAAATTCCTGCCTGCGTCACCTGGGCCCAGAGCCACTGGGCGGCCCAACAGCAAGGAGCGGGGAGCAGGAAAAACCAGGTTCCCGGGAGCCGCGAGGCGGCTGCTCGCGCGCCGGGCCAGCTCCGCTCCACGCAGTGCAGGGCAGGGCAGCCCGCGCCCGGGGACGCCGGGGTCCCCGCGGCCAGCGCAGCGCGGTGGTGCCCTCCTTCCTCCGCGCCTTCCTCTGCCTCCCRCAGCGCGGAGTGGCCGGGTGTCCGGGGCTGCAGCGGGTCCTGGCGCCCGCGTGCCCGAGCGCGGCAGCCGCCAGCAGATGAGGCTGTTGCTCCGTGATGTTGTCGCCGCAGAGGCTGGCTCTGCTGCTGGCCAAGACGCGTCCCATGGGCCACGTCCCTGGCGCTCCCGGTCCCCGCGCTCTGCCAGGCCCTGCTCACCCGGGCGATCCCAGGTTTTGTGCATGGGGCAGCCCCAGGATTGCTCCGGACTGTGGCTCCCGCGGGAGTTTGCACTGCACGCTGCCTCCCACCGCTGCCCACGCCCGTCATGGCTCCGTACTGGGGCCCGGCGCCTCGYGGCGCAAACAGCAGAAAGCTCCAGAAAGCACCGGATTCGGGAGCAGCTGCTGGGAGCGGTGCAGAGCACAGACCTGGCTGGGCTGAACAGCACGGCCTCGGCATGGCGTGGTCCTGCGGGATGCAGCATGRCCCAAACTTGGCCACAGGGMTCTGGGATCAAGGGATGCAGCAAGGCCCTGGCACAACCGTGATCCTGTGGGATGCAGCACGGTCCCCTCACAGCCCTGATCCTGCAGGATTGTGGGATATAGCACTGCCCTGGCACAGCCGTGATCCTGTGGGATGCAGCATCACCCAAACAGGGCCATAGTGCTCCGGGATCAAGGGATGCAGCACGACCCTGGTACAGCCGTGGTCCTGCGGGATGCAGCATGGCCCAAACATGGCCACAGGGCTCTGGGATCAAGGGATGCAGCATGGCCATGGCACAGCYGCGATCCTGCAGGATCACAGGATGCAGCTCGGCGCGGTGCAGCACGGCGGCCCCCGACGGGGTTGTGATTGCAGCCATGCATCACCGCGCGCCGAGGGCGGGCGGGCGGCTGCAATTTTTCTCCACRATTTGCAGACAAATGAGGGGAAGGGCAGCGGATGCGCAGGCGGCCGCAGGAGGGGCCGGCGAGCGGGTGGCAGCGGCCGCGCGGGCCCCATCCCTGCAGCTGYGGCTCCAAGGGGGCCGCCGGCGCCCCCGGGCCCTGCAGCCGCTGCCCTCGGTGCAGGCGTCTGGAGCCRCCTCCCGCCCCGAGGGGCTGCCCGGGCTGAGATAACGCTTAATACCCTCAAACACCCACTATCAACCTCGCCATAAGGCCCATAAATATTAATACAATTCTAATTAGTTCCCTTAAATACAGCGCCTAAATTAAGCATTTCCTCTGCAATAAATCAGCAGCGTTTTGGCATCCCGCTCCTGCCGGGAGCGGCTGCAGCTGCCGCGAGCCCCAGGCCCCGAGGCCCTGAGCCGCAGGCAGGGTCTGATGGCCCCAAACTGGGACCGTGCTGCTGCGTGCTGCACCGTGCTGTGATGCACTGCACCGTGCTGCACCGTGYTGTGATGCAYTGCACTGCACCATGCCGTGATGCACTGCACCGTGCTGCCCCATGCCGTGCCATGATGCACGGCATTGTGCCATGATGCGTCGCCGTGCTGTGCCATGCAGCATGCGGGTGCACACGGGGGTGATGTGCATGCAGGAGCATGTGGTGGGAGCTGCATGCGACAGGAGCACCTGCACCTCAGGCCTGAGCAGGGGGGCTGCCAGGGGCTCAGGTGCCCCCTGCTCTCTGCAATCATGGCCCTGGAAAGCACAACCCCCAAACTCATCTGCTTGAGTGGGAATTAATACGGTGTGAAACCTGCGGTGGTGATTTAAGAGCTGGATTTAAACCCTCCACACAAATAGATGGTTTATAAGGTCAGAAGGGAGATTAAAGGGTGCAGACAAGCACAGTGCCTGCCGTTTCCAGCAGCCTCCTTTGCCATAAACAGCTGTGTGCGGAGCTGCAGCTCCATGTTCCTGTTGGCTTCGGAGCGACTGCCCTCGTGATGCCGGTGCCGGGAGCTGCCAGTGCCGGGAGCTGCCGGTGCTGGGAACTGGCGGTGCCAGTGGTGCCGGGAGCTGCTGGTGCCGGGAGCTGGTGATGCCGGGAGCCGGCRCACGGGAGCCAGACGCGCGGGGCCGTGGGTGCCAAGGGGCCATGGGTGCCAAGGGGCAGSGCGCCCAGAGCAGCTTTCCCGTCCYGCTGCTYGTCGATGTGGAGCCTCCCGCCCGCGCCTGGCCAGGACGGCAGTGGCGGCAGCCCCGTCCCTGTCCCCATGGCTGTCCCCGTCCCCGTGGCCGTCCCCGCGCTGCCGCCAGCAGGGCCCGCCGGAGCTGTCGGCGTGAYGA